TGAGTATGCCACATCTGGTATACAATCAACTCCCCTCTCAGACTCACCTTGCAGGCGTCTGGCCAGCTCCCGGGTGAAGAGTACATTGGCCAATTTACTGTGACAATACGCAAGGCCCCAGTTGTAGCACTTCTCACCCTGGAGGTCATGGAAGCGGATCCTGCCTCCATGATGAGCCAGTGAGGACACATTGACTATGCGGGCTGGGGCCGACTGCTTCAGGCACTCCAGCAACAGGAATGTCAAGAGGAAGTGACCTAGGGAGAGATGGGATTTGTTTTACTTTGCCTTTCTATTGTGCCTTCCATCCTAGGATCTCAAAGCACTTCAGACCAAGTACTGAGGCAGCTCACTATTAGCCCCATTTCACAGATGGGAGACGTGAGACACAGGCAGGTCAGGGCCCAAAATTTCAAAAGTGGCCTCTACTTGTGGGTGCTCAAACAGCTGGAACTGGTGAAAGGTTGCAGGAGATGGCAGTCCCATTTGCCAGCTCTGTACCCTCAGAATAGGCACTCCATGGGCAGTGACTGGGCAAGCTTCCCCTGCACCGTTCCTCCCCAAGAAATTTAGGACCCTCCCAAAACAGCTTAGGTCTCTACTGAGGCTTAAAGGACTCTGATCTTCAATGATTTCCCTGCATTCTTAGGGGCTGGAGAGGAGGAGTCTTGGATGCAAAGTCTCCAGCTGGGATTTTTTGCCACCAACATTTATTAAAAGGTCCCAGCTGGCTCTGTCTGCCACATCTAACTCTCAGACCCTTACCAAGGTGATTGACTCCCAGATGCATCTCAAAGCCATCAGCCGTCTTGGAGTAAGGGCACAGCATCACACCTGCATTGTTAATGAGGATATGTAGCTCCTTCTCCTCTGCAAGGAACAATGGATGGGGTGAAGCATTAAACAGGGATCCCTTGACAACCGCCCAGCACCAGTATGGCATAGATCAGCCAGAGAACTTGGGCTGACTGAGCTGCAGCTGTCCCTCCCCTCCAAAATATAAAAAGATACCTCCCCAGGCTAGTACTGCAGCCTCTGGTGACTCTCCATCATGCAACCAAACAGAATCTTATCAAGCAGGGTGAGTGTCTGACAAAGTCCACTGGCAACAGTGTGCCCTCCCTCCTGGCTTAATATTGCTGGCAGTGTCGTGGGGTGGAACTGGTCCAGCCCATGTTTGCAGGACAGACTATTACCACTTTGCAGCCTTGCTTTGGGACAGCGTGACCCTATGCCATCACAGGGAACAACTCCAGTTAAAGTAGCTGGGACTCATATAGTGAGTAAGAATAAATATATCAGAGGGATAAATACCAGAGAGGGAGAGGAGTTATTTAAGTTAAGTGCCAATGTGGACACAAGAACAAATGGATACAAACTGGCCATCAACAAGTTTAGGCTTGAAATTAGACAAAGGTTTCTAACCATCAGAGGTGTGAAGTTCTGGAACAGCCTTCCATGGGGAGCAGAGTGGGCAAAAACCTAACCGACTTCAAGGATGAGCTTGGTACATTTATGGAGGGGATGGTATGAAGAGACTGTCTACAATGGCAGGTAGCCAATCTGCGACTGCTAACAGCAAATATTTCCAATGGCTGGTGACACGAGACTAGATGGGAAGGTCTCTGAGTTACTACAGAGCATTCTTTCCCGGGTTTCTGGTTGGTGAGTCTTGCCCGCATGCCCAGGGTCTAACTGATCACCATATTTGGGGTTGGGAAGGAATTTTCCCCTGGGTCAAATTGGCAGAGACCCTGGTGGTTTCTCACCTCCCTCTGCAGCATGGAGCACAGGTCACTTGCAGTTTTAAACTAGTGTAAATGGTGGATTCTCTGTAACTTGAAGACTTTAAATCATGATTTGAGGACTTCAGTAACTCAGCCAGAGGTTGGGGTCTATTACAGGAGTGGGTGGGTGAGATTCTGTGGCCTGCAATGTGCAGAAAGTCAGACCAGATGATCATGATGGTCCCTTCTGACAAAGTCTATGAGTTTATAAGAAAGGGGCATTTTCACAGTCACTTTTATAATAATAACGAGCACTTATATAGGACCTTCATATTCAGCTCTCAAAGTGTTTTACCAAGGCGATTAAGTCATGACTTGCCCAAAGTCCCACAGCAAGTCAATGGCAAAACTTGGAATAGAACCCAGGTGTTGCAACTCCCAGGTCGATCTGTCTGCTACACCACGTTCGCTCTTCAGAACTAAAGAGCAGAGAGCTGCCCTTTTGATCAGAGCTGGTGTTATGCTCCCAATACTTCTGTTAGTCTTAAAGGTGCCACAGGACCCTCTGTTGCTTTTTACAGATTCAGACTAACACGGCTACCCCTCTGATACCTCCCCTAACAGTAAGTGTGACAGCATCTAGGGGTCATACCTGCTAGGAAGTTCTCAGCAAACTCTCGGATAGACTTGGTATCAGCCAGATCCAGCTTCTTCACAATTACTTGTTGGTTCCCTGTCTCAGCTCGGATCTCACAGGCTGCTGCTTCCCCCTTTGCCATGTCTCTGCAGGCAATGATCACCCTGGCACCTGCAATGGGGAAAGGACAGCAGAAACATGGGCCATGAGCAGTGGGGGCAGCTTGGGGAGCCAGGACAGAAAGGCAGGGGGCTACCCAAAGGTCAGACAAACAGCCTTTCTACCTGTGAGTTACCAGCTTAAATGCAGCCCAGCTAGGTAGTGACCAAAGAGTGCTACCTTCTCAAGATTGTTCTTTGGTTGGTATGAAATAAGCTTGAAATGTCTCTGTCCAACTCCTTGTGGGCAAGGTGTCCACTGCACAAAACCAGCAATATTGGTCCTACCAGACTCCCACATTGGTAGTCTCACCACAGTGGCCAAGGTTTGAATGGACCACTCCTGCACCGAGGTGGCCTTGGCTAGGGCACTGTTTCTAAAATGATTAAGAATGTAATTTAGCCCCCTCCATAGTAGCTGTCCAAATAGCTTTAAATCCAGTTAGCCTCAGCCATGCTGTAACAAAGACACACACCAATGAAACTAAGTTGGTTTCCAGCCTCACATAGGTGGGAGGGTCTAATGATAACAGGGACTTCCAGGACTAAGTTCTGAAAGTGTGTCTAGGAGTCCACCAAAGTTCAGTACTGAAGCTATAAGGCTCACCTACAGTAAAATTATTATCGAGTCAGGAGACCTGCTTCCAACATTGCTAAAAGTTTAAGTGTCGTCAGGATGTATAACCATGTTATAGACACAACAAATCCTGCATCTTGGCAGGAGATTAGAAACGATGACCCTTGCAGTCTCTTTTAACCCTGTGAGTCTATATTAAAGCTCTGGACTCTCCAGGGTTCTAACCTAGTTCCTAGGACATGGTTGGGTCTATCTCCATTATAACTTTTAGCTGTGTTTTACTGGGTCAGAGGACAACCATGTGTAACCAGGTCTTCAAACTCCATTATAGTTGTAGTATAGATGGGTCTGTCAAAATAATCCCCTCCCAGCTCCAGAGAAGAAAACAGTGACACCCAGTGAAGATGTAAATTACAGAGGGACTTTTGGCGGTGGAGAAGGGACAGGTGACTTGCCTCTTTGTGCGAGATCTCTGGCTGTCTCCTTCCCAATGCCTGTGTTGGCCCCCGTGATCATCACCACCTTCCCATTCAGCTTAGTTGTTGACTTACACACCCCTCCTGCCACGTATCTCCTAGAAGAGAGGACAAGAAGAGGAGCTACTAGGGATTCACAAGGACAGTTTTCTGGTTATCAGGGTCAGTCCTGGGGCTTGGCATTTAGTGTTCTGTGTTACACTGCCCTGCTTGCTGGCTTTGATCCAGCCACCTAGTTATTGGGTTCAGAACAATTGGAAAGACATGGGGATATTTACATAAATTGCCAGTTCCAGGTTCCTGTTTTCTTATATTCCCTCCCTGGCGCCAGCTACTGCTCACCCTTCTTAGAGGCCATTACGGCCACTGATGCAGGTTCCCATTCATCTTCCAAACCTCTGCACCCTGAAGTAGATAATATTCCAAGCTGCCCACTCTGCTATAAACATATTGATATGTAATGCACTGACAGGTGGGTCTTAAGCCCTGGTTTCCAGTGGCTGCACCCCAACAGGGACATAAGCCCTGGTACTCTGCCACCTAGCTGAGAGCTTCCTTTATTTAGTTCAGGGGATAGACCTGAAGTTTTCCATGTCACGCTGCATGCAGTAGACATGGGGACCACAATGTTTGCATATATGCAGCTGAGGGTTTGTTATGAGCACCACATAACAGGGGAATGTGGTACACAGCCCCAGAGCAGAGAGGCACTATACACAGCCCAGAGGCAGGAGTAAACCAGAGGCAGCAGGCAAGTCCTTTCTCCCATCCCCTGTCCCATGAGCTAACACAGGCACTTTCTTTCCCAAATCCTATCTCAGGTGCCCCAGCACACTGCTTCTGTTCCAGATCCTCGCCTGGGCTTCAGCATTAACCAACATATCAGTCTTCTTGCCCAGCCCCGGCCTATAGTCCAGGTACCTACGAGTAGGCCGGTTCCCAGCCAGAAACTGCCTCAAGCACCAGCAAACACAGTAGGTAGCTTTCTGTATTGGGTGTTGTAAATTCTTCACTGTTACATAGGTGGGATGAGAGTTACCCTATTGGCTGTTGATATCATAGAAGATCATCCAATGATCTTCCTCTCACCTAGACCATCTGAACTAATCTAATGCACCTATACTAAAGGAGTTTAAAAGAGTGTGAGGTGAATAAAAAGCCTCCCATGACACTGTTGGTTTTAATGACTAAGAACTGGGCCAGATGTCCCAGCTGTAACTCCAACCAAGACAGTGTGGTTACACTAAGGGAAAATTTGGCCTTCTTCCTTCACATTTTTATGGATTGACAATTATCTTTTTAATTCTTTGAAACTTCATATTTCCCAAAGTAAGTTGCCACCTTACATCAACTTTACAGTGCTCAGAGATAACAAAACGGCAATTATAGAAAGTTTACAACGCATTTAAAGTGGCTACCTTGGGGTCAGGTTAGGTGCGAAATATGGTCATTTTATTGCCAACAGTACAAGATCTTATTTTAACCTGAGAATTGATTCAGAGAATCATAGAAATTAGAGCTAGAAATACCCAGCAGGTCTCAATCCAGTCCAAGATAAGGAGTGAATACAGGATTGTTCCCTACTATTTCCTAGATACAGGGTTCAAGGTTAGCCTAACTAACATTTTCACTTGGTGAAGTCAAAAAAGAATCCCCTGCCCAAACCCTTTCCAAAAGCAAGCAATCTATTAAAATTTATTGGAAGCAAAACAACTTTCTTCTTTTACTTAATACTCTACCCTAAGCATTTATGGTTATATTGTTTTTATGCAGCACTTGTATGCCTTTCAAGTGCTGTACAGACATTAATATAGTAACGCTCATAACATCTTGGTAAATTAGTTATTAGCTCCATTTTACAGATGGGGAAACTGAGGCACAGAGAGGCTTACCCAAGACTGCAAAGCGAATGGACAGCAAAGACACGGTTCAAACCAAATATAGCCTGACTGCCACTTCCCTGCTTTAATTGCTTTTTAAGTCTGCTTCATTTATAAAGAGGAATGGAGAGGTTTTAAGACTCACAGATAACATGATAATGTAAACCCAGATTCTCAGAATACTGGAAATTTTTTCTTTGTAGATTTGATATTCTACCATATTACCTGATCTTTCTCTAAGTGCAATAATTAATAAACTGATCTGCCTTCTCTACCAAGAATGCACTTGCTGGATCCCCATTTAGCAGAAGTAAAAAGGTGCACACTTTTTAAAGGGTAAAAGGGTTTACACAGTAGCTAATCAATCATCTAATACAGACCTGATGTAGGGAGCTGCCATGAACAGAAGAAGGGGAACACAGATGAATATTCCCAACACGGTCGCCAAGCAGTTTAGCATTGCTGCTATCTGTTGTTTGCCCTCCCTTCCAATGAATCTTGTCTCTCAGCAGAGAGACAAGGGAGGGCGAGTGAAATACACCAGCTAGGGAGCATTGCATGCAGGGAGTTGTAGTCATACCCATCAGCTTTGTGTGCAGAAAGGCAGAGCACAACGTGCTGGGAGTTGTAGTCCAACAACCCAGTCTGGGTAATGTGCCATACTGGTGGAAAAAAAACAAAGGGACATACCTAGTGATTTCTCTGCAGGGAAACAGATATACCTTCTCCCCCAAAATAAAACAAAACTGCAAGCAAGTCAGTTCCTTAGATCTAAAGGATCAATAACGTCCTAGCTACTGAGTTAATTTGTTCTCTACTCTATATCTTTCTGAGGTTTGTTTTATAATTTGCTAAATATCAGCAGTGCTTCTGGTCTGATGGATAAAGTGCTCTTAAGAGTTCAGAGAACCTGGGTTCTATTCTGGACTCTGCTGTTGCCTTACTAAGTGACCTTAGGCAAGTCATTTCACTATCTCTCTGTGCCACACCTGTAAAATGGGACTAACAGTACTCACCTTGATAAAGTATTCTGAGTCTAAGCATCAAAGTGCAATATTTAAAGATATTTAAATTAACTGGCTAGTGTGTATATGCACTCAGAAGTGATAAAATGTGTCACAGACTCTATATTGCTAACAACAGAGAATCCCGGGGCCCTTTAGCTCAAGTGATGGAGGTCTATGCCTTTTGTAGCAGCAGGACTGGGAGTCTAGCCCTGCTGTCATCATGAAATTCCAAGTGGCATGCTGTGCAGGATAGTGACAACCATACCACCCTGGTCAGCCACAGATTTGTTATGATGTAGCTCTACTTCACTTCACAGCTTCCAGATGAGCATTTTCAAAATGTCGCACATCACAAACACAGGTTCAACATCCACATTTCACTCACTGAACAGCCAGCAAAGCAGGAAGTATTTCTGATCACTCTATGATGAATTACATTATGTTGGCGTCATGGTACTACATCAGTGGCCAAACTAGAAATTCCCAGATGGATATTTGTGTTTAATCTCTTTGCGGTGTTTGTATTACCCTGTTTGGTGAACTATCTTCTTAAAACACAAATAAAGCTGAGGGGTCTGTGCCACCAGCACCAGTGCTCTTCTCTCAGCCAGGATGCTCAGAAAGAAACACACAACTGAGGAAACAGCAGTTCTGCAGGTTTAATTATGCAGAAAACTCAGCCTGGAAGACTCATCTCTTCCAGGCCTGTTTGGAGCATGATCCCATTCAAACATCACACCAGTGATTTCAGTAAATGACCCTTCTTTAACCCCACTTCTAGGTTTCTGTTATTAGCTCTAAAAAAATGTAGATGATTTTGCGCGTGTGTGTAGAGAGAGCTAAGGGAAAGTCTGGCATTTCCGAATGAATGATCAAGACAATTAAACTGATGGTCACTCTGCCTCCTCCAATGGGCCCTTTACCAATGAAGAAGAGAGCTTAATGAATTTAGAATCTGGGGCAATGGGTCTGCTTTGCTTCCCTGACAGCTCTGGATTTTTCACATTTTCTAAAGATTTAAGTGCAGGCACTGGTTACAGAAAAAGAAACTATCAAAATCCAGTTTCCTTCATTCACCAAACTTTACTGCTCAGTGTTTACATATAATGGTGGCCAAAGCTGGCAGCTCTCAGTGGACCTATAGCAAACACAGATCTGTTGTTTCCGACACAGAGGTCCTTTTGAAAATGTCTTGTTTTGTTTGCAAGCAGCCTTTAAAATTAAGGGGCAGAGCAGAGCAGAGGTGGGAAGAGGCAGGGCTGGGGTGCCCTATGCAGTCGCGTACGGGTAGGGACGGCCCTGGTCATGTTGTCCCCAAAGCATTAAACTGTAACCCAGAGCACATGTGCAAGAGGAGCTCTGGTGAAAGGTGTGCTTAAGCTACTGGGGAAACTGGGGAAGGTCCACACTGGTCTTCAGACCTAGAGCAGCTGGGTCACACGGCTCCATATCCCAAGAGAGGATATCAGCATTGGAGTCTGTACCCTGAGAGTGTGTCTGAAAGGCCAGACATAGAGACAGTCTCTGAATGCTACTTGGACCCAGTAGGGTTGGAAGCACCCAGGATCCAACAGTTGCATCCAATACAGCAGGTGATCTTCCACAAGGAGGAGCTCAGCCAGGACTCTAACACTTCACTTATTGTTTCAAGGAATTTAACAACTCTACTGGCAAGACAAAAATGGAGCCAATTTTGTATTCCAAATCCGAACTGCGGGGGGTGGGGAGTGTCATTTGATACCTTTGAAGTTCCTGAAAGAACTCTGCTTCCTAAGATGAGGGTTGCAGCACAGTTGATGAGAGCAGGAAATCATTTGATGTCCTACATGAGATGAATGGAAGTGTCTCAGGCTAGTTCCTTGTGGTCAGGTGTACACATCACAAAAACAACTACCATAACTACCACCACTTGGACCTCTTGTTAGCAAAAGGTAAGGAAGAACTTACTGAATGGGGCATAGAGACTATTAACCCTAAAGGGAGCCCTCCAGGTCACATTTGAAGTAAACTGTTAAGCAGTAAAATAGCCAAGGGTAACCAGAGTTTTAGCTCTTCACATTTGGAGAGTATGGAGTTTTCTCACTTCTCATTTAAGAAATAAAGCCTTTAGTTACGCCTATTCTCCTGTGACCACAACAACTTCTGTGTGAGTCATAACATAAGAACATAAGAACGGCCGTACCAGGTCAGACCAAAGGTCCATCTAGCCCAGTATCCTGTCTACCGACAGTGGCCAATACCAGGTGCCCCAGAGGGAGTGTACCAACAGGCAATGATCAAGTGATCTCTCTCCTGCCATCCATCTCCATCCTCTGACAAACAGAGGCTAGGGACACCATTCCTTACCCATCCTGGCTAATAGCCATTAATGGACTTAACCACCTTGAATTTATCCAGTTCTCTTTTAAACTCTGTTATAGTCCTAGCCTTCACAACCTCCTCAGGTAAGGAGTTCCACAAATTGACTGTGCGCTGCGTGAAGAAGAACTTCCTTGTATTTGTTTTAAGCCTGCTGCCTATTAATTTCATTTGGTGACCCCTAGTTCTTGTATTATGGGAATAAGTAAATAACTTTTCCTTATCCACTTTCTCCACATCACTCATGATTTTATATACCTCTATCATATCCCCCCTTAGTCTTCTCTTTTCCAAGCTGAAGAGTCCTAGCCTCTTTAATCTCTCCTCATATGGGACCCGTTCCAAACCCTTAATCATTTTAGTTGCCCTTTTCTGAACCTTTTCTAGTGCCAGTATATCTTTTTTTAGATGAGGAGACCACATCTGTACGCAGTATTTGAGATGTGGGCGTACCATCGATTTATATAAGGGCAATAATATATTCTCAGTCTTATTCTCTATCCCCTTTTTAATGATCCCTAACATCCTGTTTGCTTTTTTGACTTCCTCTGCACACTGCGCGGACATCTTCAGAGAACTATCCACGATGACTCCAAGATCTTTTTCCTGACTTCTTGTAGCTAAATTAGCCCCCATCATATTGTATGTATAGTTGGGGTTATTTTTTCCAATGTGCATTACTTTACATTTATCCACATTAAATTTCATTTGCCATTTTGTTGCCCAATCACTTAGTTTTGTGAGATCTTTTTGAAGTTCATCACAGTCTGCTTTGGTCTTAACTATCTTGAGCAGTTTAGTACCATCTGCAAACTTTGCCACCTCACTGTTTACCCCTTTCTTCACATCATTTATAAATAAGTTGAATAGGATTGGTCCGAGGACTGACCCTTGGGGAACACCACTAGTTATCCCTCTCCATTCTGAGAATTTACCATTAATTCCTACCCTTTGTTCCCGGTCTTTTAACCAGTTCTCAATCCATGAAAGGACCTTCCCTTTTATCCCATGACAACTTAATTTACGTAAGAGCCTTTGGTGAGGGACCTTGTCAAAGGCTTTCTGGAAATCTAAGTACACTATGTCCACTGGATCCCCCTTGTCCACATGTTTGTTGACCCCTTCAAAGAACTCTAATAGATTAGTAAGACACGATTTCCCTTTACAGAAACCATGTTGACTATTGCTCAACAGTTTATGTTTTTCTATGTGTCTGACAATTTTATTCTTAACTATTGTTTCGACTAATTTGCCCGGTACCGACGTTAGACTTCCCTGTCTGTAATTGCCGGGATCACCTCTAGAGCCCTTTTTAAATATTGGCGTTACATTAGCTAACTTCCAGTCATTGGGTACAGAAGCCAATTTAAAGGACAGGTTACAAACCTTAGTTAATAGTTCCGCAACTTCACATTTGAGTTCTTTCAGAACTCTTGGGTGAATGCCATCTGGTCCCGGTGACTTGTTAATGTTAAGTTTATCAATTAATTCCAAAACCTCCTCTAGTGACACTTCAATCTGTGACAGTTCCTCAGATTTGTCACCTACAAAAGCCGGCTCAGGTTTGGGAATCTCCCTAACATCCTCAGCCGTGAAGACTGAAGCAAAGAATCCATTTAGTTTCTCCGCAATGACTTTCTCGTCTTTAAGTGCTCCTTTTGTATCTCGATCATCAAGGGGCCCCACTGGTTGTTTAGCAGGCTTCCTGCTTCTGATATACTTAAAAAACATTTTGTTATTACCTTTGGAGTTTTTGGCTAGCCGTTCTTCAAACTCCTCTTTGGCTTTTCTTATTACATTCTTGCACTTAATTTGGCAGCGTTTATGCTCCTTTCTATTTGCCTCACTAGGATTTGACTTCCACTTTTTAAAGGAAGTCTTTTTATCTCTCACTGCTTATTTTACATGGTTGTTAAGCCACGGTGGCTCTTTTTTAGTTCTTTTACTGTGTTTCTTAATTTGGGGTATACATTGAAGTTGGGCCTCTATTATGGTGTCTTTAAAAAGTGCCCATGCAGCTTGCAGGGATTTCACTTTAGTCACTGTACTTTTTAACTTCTGTTTAACTAACCCCCTCATTTTTGCATAGTTCCCCCTTTTGAAATTAAATGCCAGTGTTGGGCTGTTGAGATGTTCTTCCCACCACAGAGATGTTGAATGCTATTGTATTATGGTCACTATTTCCAAGCGGTCCTGTTATAGTTTTCTCTTGGACCAGCTCCTGCGCTCCACTCAGGACTAAATCATCTACTGGCTGGTTACATCCAGCACCAGACAAGTGGCCTGTAAAATCTGCAATAAGCAACTAGTGCTACTCCATGTGTGGACTGACTGAATACATATATTAATTATTATTATACTTACAAATTAACTGTTCTTTTTCTGATATGATTGATTATGATTTGAAAATTAAGGTTGGGAAGCAAGAGTTTACCCACTCCTTTTTTACCACTACTGTTAAGCGATGTGAGAAAATTTGTGTTGACTTTCTGTACTGTATCTGCTCCTTGGACAGGAGACTTCAATGTCCAGATCTGCCAAGCCAGAACCCGAATGCAAAGCTACTGTGTTGGATGACATAGCATAACAAACTCAACACACTGGGTTTCGCTGAGATTGCTGGTATGTGCACATCCTTGCTATACTGGTCGGGGGAGCAAACCACCTCAAACCTAGCTCTTGGATGTGCTTGCAGGGCAGGACTCTTGCACATTTTCCATTCCTTGCCTGCACAAAGTGATGGGGTGAAACAGGTATAGACTGTGCGTGGTCACAGCAACTGTCGAACCAATCTTGTTGCTTCAGAACTGAACTTTGCCAGCTGCGATAAAGGCCTGACCACCAACCACATGGTTATTCAGAGGCATGCAGGGAGCAAGTGCAATGCTGTCAAACACAATTACTCTAGAATTCTCATTATATAAATGATCCTAACACTTCACCAGGGCCATGGACACCCCATCATTCTGGGGGCCAAGTAATGGCTCGTAAACCATCAACAGGTATTTTAAAGACAATTTTTCCCAACATTCACTTTTGCTCTGAGTCCAAGTCTGGCGAGTTTTGGCCCCCGACAGGTAACTGGGGCCACAAGGCTCCCAGCTGCCTGCACCCAGCAGGAATGGGAGGGGGCCCATGTTGCTCCAGAATAGAGAACAGCGTGGTGGCTGCGCCTCTTGTAACAGACAATCATAGGGTTGCCAACCCTCCAGGATCAGCCTGGAGTCTCCAAGAATTAATCTTCAGTTAAAGATTGTCATGTGATTAAATCTCCAGGAATAGTCCAACCAAAACTGGCAACCCTACAGATAAGGCTGGGGCAGAAACCCCCAGCAATTAAGGGCAGCTGGGAGAGAGGCGAGAGGAGGCTCCACCCGTGACCCAGCATGTCCGGTCCGGTCGTTCGCAGCCTACCTACCTAAAAGTCCCATGACTCCCGTGTGACCCTCCCCACAGCAGGACTACACTTCCCAACATGCAGTGCGCGGCACGGAGTCTCGGGGCCTCCCTCTCGAGGTGGCAGGGATAGTGCCTGATCCGTAGAACCGGGCTAGTCCCATTCGGGAATGGCGACTCAGACCCCGAATGCTGCTCTCGCAAGGCGGTGGGGAACTGCGCTGTGAACCTCGTGGCTAGAGGGGCGGTGCCGAGTGATTGATCATCAGGCGCTATGTACGGCACCCTCCCGGGCGGGCCGAGCGGCCGGAACGATGAAGCCCCGACTCGCGCCCCGGAAGTGTTTGTGAAGAGCTGGCGATGGGCCTGGGATCCTAGTAACAGGCGAGAGGGCCGGGAGACGGCAGCTGCCGCCGCCATGGCGGGTCGGGGCTCCGGCTCCTCCGAGCACTTCGAGCGGCTGCACGAGATCTTCCGGGGTCTGCAGGCGCAGCTGCGGGGCGTCCCGGAGAGACTGCGGGGGAGCGCGGCCGGTGAGGCAGGGCGGGCGCGGCCCGTGAGGTGCCGGGGGAGGGGGCGAGCGCGGGGCCGTTATTACGTTGGAGGGGAGCAGGAACCCCCCCCCCGTCTCTCTCCTGCCGGGTCAGTGTCTAGCGCGGAGCGCGTCTCCCCGCAGCGCGGTGTCGGGATCCCCCGGAGCAGGCGGGGGCGGGGAGTTGTTCTGCGCGGGAACCGGAGCCCTTAGGTTTTGGGGCAGATTTCTCCGGTCTTCAGGGCCGCCTCCGAAACCTCCGGCTCCTGGGCTGAAGAGTCGCTACAAGCGCTGCCGCAAGTGACCGCGGGGAGCGCAGAGCGGGGTGTGACGACATCTATAGAAACCCTCCCGTTTTACAACTGGGTGCGGTTTCCGCCAGCAACGTGACCATCTGGGCTACTTGCTACCGCCTGGTCCATGGGGTTGCGAATCAGGAGGGATGGGGTTTGTGGTCAAAAACACTCACGATCTGCTTCCTCCTGGCTAATGTGACAAATTGATCTATTGGACGATTCAGGTGTGCTGTTTCACTTTTTTGTGTGTGAATCCGTGAAAAGGGAGGTAAGGTTTGGGGGTACAGAGCATACCCCTGAGCCCAAGGTGATACCAGAGTGGCCCCTTTGATTTTTTTTCCCTTGGCTTCTTCTGTTTGCGTCGCTACGGGGGCCTGGCCAGCGGGACTCGGCTCGCCCCTGCTGCTTGGGGCAGTCGGGGGAGCGATTTCCAAACCCCTAATGCCGCTATTGAGTGTCCCTGCAATGGCAGGGAGGGCTCCGGGGGAGCCGGAAGCACACGGCAGGCAGCTGCGCTTGGATTGTGCCTGACACCCCTTCCCTCCTGCCGAGCCAGGACAGGCTGGCATCCCGCAGCGCCCAAAGCTTGAAGTGTGTGTGAAAGCACGTCCCTTGGCTAGAGCCGCATCAAAATCCCCTCTCCCTGAGCCCCTTCCTGTCCGTGTTCGGTCCCTCCTAATCCTCGTGCTGGCCTTCCGTAGCAAGCAATGTAGCCTTACAGAGTCACGATACTTGCGCTTGTCAGTTTGTAGTTTGCAGAGGAGCAGAGATGTTTTTGAGAACTTGTATTTCTGGTTGATGCGAGTAACAAGTTTCAAATCAGCTCGAAAATCCTGTAGGTTCCAGGGACAGAGCTGTTCAACTTCCAGAACAGAAATCCTCTCACTTTGTGAAGCAGGTGGGATAATGTTGTGGGCTGCTTAGCTCAGGGGATTGATAATGGAATACAGAGCTTTCCAACTAGCCAGAGCTAAATGGCCCTCTTATTGGCATCCTTGGAAGAGGCCAAGAACTGAATGGGACATGTAAATAGAAGTCTGACCCATAAGATGGTCTCGGCTAAATGCATGAGGCACTGATGGGGCAGTGAAGGGAAGTTTGGACTGTCCCTGTAATACATATTCTATGGATAAATAAAGATCTTCAGTCTCTGAAATTGTCAGGCCAGAACCAGTCACTAGCACTAAATTCACAAGATTTTTTTAAAAAGCTATGTAGAGAGGTCTGATATACCACTTGCTGCCTTTGAGCTAATTCTCCTGTTCTCTTCTTCTCTGCAGCTGCTGGTGGCTTTCCTGTCTTGGAGGGCACACTCTGAGGTGTAGGTTTTCAGTAGTTCTGGCTTTATGTGTTACTGGTTAGTTATTGCCAGTTTTGGTAGCTTCACCCTTGAGCATGCCTACTGTTGGGTTAACTAAGGTCCCAACCCTGTAAGCACTTATGCATGATTTCTGCCGTTGGGCAGTCCCACTGACATCACTGGAATTACTGAAATTTGTGTAAGTATTTGTATGCTTTGGGCATTTGGCTTCGATCTCAGCACAAACAGGAGAGGCAGTGTTGCTCTATGGGGCTGCAGAGCTGCATTCTTGTGTGGAGAAAGTTTTCCTGGTATTCATTTAATGTTGTTCTAGGTAAGGGGTGGGCAAACTATGGCCCGCAGGATTGCCACCCCCATGGCGGCACGGGGCCAGGGTAGGCAGTCAGCCTACCTGAGCCCGGCTGTGCACTGCTGCCACCCAAAGCCGCTCCAGATAAGTGGCGCCGGGCTGGAGCCCGCACCCTGAGCCCCCTGCTGCACCCCTCCTGCCCTCAGCCCCAATCTCCTGCCCTGAGCCCCCACTGCACCCCTCCTGCACCCCAACCCCTTGCCCCTTCCTGCACACCCTCCCGCACCCTGCACTCCCTCCCGCACCCCAACCCCCTGCCCCAGCCCTACATTCATGGTCCTGCATGCAATTTCCCCACCCAGATGTGACCCTCGGGCCAAAAAGTTTGCCCACCCCTGCTCTAGGTCTACTGGGTGAATTGCATTTCCCTTCTGAAATGTTGTTGGAATCTTGCTTAAGGATTGTTAGGTGGAAATCTAGTCAAATGAATTAATAATAAAGCAGTTTCCAGTAGTACAGCTGGCTGAGTCTTCCCGTCAATTTTTGTAGTTTTACTGCTATGTTTTCCTATTTTTAAATGATTTTCTCTTCTCTGTTGCTGTGTGAGACCCACATAATCTAGAGAGTATTTCTAAAGTGAAATACTATGTGTAATGTTGTCAAAGGCAGAAAGTAATACTGGAAAATAGCTTTTCCTCAAATTCTTCAGTTTTAATCATGTTCAATGTAGCAAATACTGATAAGTAGATAAAACATTTTGGAATGGAAGTATCTCTCTAAAAGTTGATGGTGGCCCTTTAATTCATCTGGTGAATTCTGGTTATATTTGAAAAAGGGAAGTGGCCTGACAAGGGAAATGTTAGCAATATGAGTGAATCTCTTCACAATCAGGAAGCTCCCTTACTTTGGAGAAGCCTGACACACAATTACCTCAAGTCTACTCAGCTGACTTCTTTTCTCTGCCAGAAGAGTGAATAGGGCAAATAGTCCTTGTTTTATGGCATTTGTTAGTCATGTGACCATTGGGATTAATTATTGTAATTCTCTGTACGTAATATGTAACCACCAACCTTATAAAAAGCTACAGGTTGTTTATAATACAGTAGCCTATATGCTCAGTCTCTCAGGCTGATGAGAGCACAACACTCCAGTGGACCACTGTCAAATGGCTCCCCATTGAAGACTGAGTTGAATTCAAAGTCTGTCTTCTCCTCTTCAAAACTCTCCTTAAAATTGTCCTAAGAATTACCTCATCTGGGATGATGAAGACCTTCCAAAATGGCTATATTCTGCTGGAACCAGCGTATTATCAACATCAAGAATGAAATATGTGTATGCAGAAGAATGATCTTTTTTGGTGAATGGACCGCAAATCTGGATCTTGCTTGATATTGAAACTGACTTAAAAACTCAGTTCCTTGAGAGCAAAATAAATTACCTACTTTTTCAACGCAGCCTTCCCACCATATCTCCACCAAGCCTTCCCTCCCACGAACCCTATAATCCATCCTTTGCTGGTTCGCTGTATGGAAGAGTGAGAAATTACTCTTCACTTTATAATTTTGGGAGGCACTCTGATTCACAGTGAGGGGAGCAAAGAAAGAACCCAACTAGAACACTATCCCACATTCAAAAGCGGAACAGAACAACAAGCAGGAAGCTGACTTAATTGTATAGCTCGATTATTATTTTTAAATGGTCATTTTATGAACAGTGGTGGTGAAAGTTTTTCAGTAAAATAGATCATTAAAGTTTGATGGAGAACTGAGGGTCTTGAGAAATGAGTTGCTGCTTATATGTTTAAGGATAACTTTCTGTTACAAAGAGACCTTTGTAAATGCTAAAAATCATTGCTTAAACCAGGAAAATCCCCAAGAATGCTTGTAGAAAGAATTCGCAAGAGGTTTTGGGGGAATTCAGGAATTTCCCCATCTGGTGTAAGTGTATTGCTTTACTAGATGATTCTTCTGCTTCTAGTTAATTAGGGGCAGGTGCATCTTTGTCTTCTGAAAAGTCCCCCAAAGCCTTCCTCAGAATTGGATAATATAAAACATGTTACTTTAAAGGGAATTTGGCTGCCTCTGAAACTCTTTGGGGGATAAGAATCTTAAATTCTTGGGCTCTTGTAGAGGGATGCAAATCTAGAGAGCTGTTTCTCTTTATATAAACAAGATAAATTCCTTGACCAAGATGCAAAATTTTCTGTTCTAGATCTATGTAAAATACTAGGGCAGTGTGGGATTTCTAAACTATATTGATCAGTTACCCTTTACTAAAAAGTAAAATGATTTTACTAATTTCCTTTTTCTTCTTAAGAGGAATTGAATCACTTTTTTTAGCCCTGTTATGATCATATGGATAACATCATAGGCTCTTCCAAAGCTTTGTTCCTTCTATTGCATTAGTACTTGGCTTGGTACATTCTAGTAGCAGTTTAATCCTGAGTGTTCTGAATGAGACTGTCAGATCTATTCTGACTTTTCCATAAGGTTAGAACCATTGTAATATTTTTTTTACTAACACCTCCTACCCTTTTCACCATTTAGACAACTTTTCTTTATCAAACTACAGTAGTAGTGATATAGTCACTTGCAATTGTTTGGCTGCTTACTTAAGCTGCAGTACATTATTACTCTACTTGGAGGCATGAAAATAGGCAAAATGCAGCATTATGAATATCAGCATCAGCCTTAGGTTGATTTAGGGGTTAATGGTTTGGACACAAATTACTACACCTCTACCCCGATATAACATGACCCGATATAACACAAATTCGGATATAACGTGGTAATGCAGTGCTCCGGGGGGGGGGCTGTGCACTCCGGCGGATCAAAGCAAGTTCGATATAACGCGGTTTCACCTATAACGCGGTAAGATTTTTTGGCTCCCGAGGACAGCGTTATATCGTGGTAGAGGTGTAATCAAATTCTGCAGAGCCAGAAGCCTGTTGGAGATGGCAGAGAGTAATAAAATGTTAACTACAAAGCTGTAGCTATATTTGG